CCGACCCATTGTGACCCCATCGACAACATTTCTCCAGGCCTTCCTGTCCTCCACCATCCCCTGGAGTCCACTTAAGCTCACACCAACTGCTTCAGTGACTCCATCTAGCCACCTCATTCTCTGCCGTCCCCTTCTTCTTTTGCCATCTATTGTTCCCAGCATTAGGCTCTTCTCCAGGGAGTCCTTCCTTCTCATTAGGTGGCCAGTATTTGAGTTTCAAGGAAAGTATGGAGAAGCTGAATGAATTATTTTTATCTGTCTTCCCTGAAGAAAATATATGGGTGATACCTATCCCTGAACTGACATTTTCAGGAAGAGAATCTGAAGAACCAAGGCAGATAATGATACTGGTTTCCAAGGGGACATGGAAAGTTACAAACCAGTTAGCTTACAATCTGTCCTGGGTAAATTGTCTGAATGTAATCTGAAAACACAGCAAAAGACAAGCCTTGCTGAAAAAGAATCAACATGGATTTTGCAAAGTAGGTTCTGTCTCACTAATTTTTTTAGTTACTTTCAATAGGCCTTGACAGGTCTATTTTTTAGTCTTTCAATAGGCCTTGACAAAGTCCCTCACCAAAGACTCTTGAGCAAACGTAGCAGTCACAGAATGGATTAGTAACTAGTTAAAGAATAGAAATCAAGGAGTGGGAATAAATGATAATTTTTCCCAGAGGAGGGATGTAAACACTGGAGACTCACAGGGTCCTGTATTAGGATCAATATTTTCCAGTCATTCATAAATTACCTGCAATTAGGAGTAAGTAGGGAAGTGGCCACATTACAACACCAAACTATCTGGAGTGATTCAAACCAAATTAAATTGTGAGGCGCTCCTCAGGGATCTTTCCAAGCTGGAAAAAGGGGCATCAACATGGCAGGTGCTGTTCTTTGTAATGCATGCTGGGGCAACTCCCCAACCCTCAACTCAAGTATAAGCTGATGAGAACTGAACTGGCAGTGACAGACCAAGACAAGGGTCTTGAGTTTGTGGTGGAGAGCTCAGTGAAAATGTCATCCTGGAGTGAGGCTGCTGTGAAAAAAGCAAATTTCATGTTAGGCTTAATTAGGGAAGAAACTGAAACTAAAATTACCAATGTTATACTGTCCTTACAGAAGCCTATGGTGTAACTCAGGGGTCCTCAAACTTTGTCAATAGGGGGCCAGTTGAAATGTGCCTGCAGTGGGCGCAGGCCGGAGAGGGGGTGGGGCGGGGGGCACGTGCATGCAGCGAGGTGAGGGCGGGTGCACATGGAGATAATTTTCTCCAAACGAGTCCAAAACAATCTCAACGTGAGCAAGCCGTCGCCCCACGCTTGCACGGCGAGGCAGCAGCTTGCTCGTGTGGAGATCGTTTTCTCTGAGCAAGTCCAAAATGATCTCCACGCGAGCAAGCCGCTGTCCGGCACATGCGTGTGGCAACTCCAAAACCTTTGAGGTGGGCCAGATAAATGGGCATGGCAGGCCAGATCTGGCCCACAGGCCCTAGTTTGTGGTCCCGTGGTATAACTGTATTTAAAATGCTGTGTATAGTTCTGGTTGCCAGACAGGAAAAAAAGGATACTGTAGAGTTGGAAAAGCACAGAAAAAGCAACTAAAGTAAGCAAGGGGTTGGAGCAACTTCTCTGTGAGGAAAAGTTACAACAGCTGACATTGTGACATGGTTTAACTTAGAAAAAAGGTGACTAATGGGAGACATCATAGAGGCGTACAGAATTCTGTATGGCATGTAGACATTTTTCTCCCTCCCCCATAGTACTAGAAGCTTGGTTTATCCCATGACGCTAACTGATGGGAGATTCCAGACAGATAAAAGGAGGTACTTCTTCACACAGCACTGTTAAACTACGGAATTCACTTCCACAAAATATAGTGATAATCACCAATTTGAACAGCCTTAAAAGGATATTGGACAAATACATGGACAAAAATACAATCAGTGACTATATTTCAGAAGCAAAGGTGATATTCATATAGCCATGTACATCAATTGCTGGGGAATTTGGACAGCAGGTGCTGATGCTCTTATTTGCTGCCTGTGGGATCCTGTAAGCACCTTGTTGGCCACTGTGTGGGATCCTGTAGGCACCTTGTTGGCCTCTGGTTCAATCCAACATGAGCCTTCCAATGTCCTCACATTTCTGGCTTGCAACTTTGCTTATATTTTACTATTTGCTACACACCTGATCTAATGATAGGGTTCAAGAACTTTTCCCTGTCTAAACATGCTTAGGATTGTGTCCTTACAGACCCTGAAACATCCCTGATCTCCTGATTCTTGTGCACCTGCCAACTTTCACACTTAAGAATAGATATCACTCTTCAAGCACTTGAAAAGCTGCCACAAAGAGGAAGGCTAGGATTTCTTCTTGATCATCCCAGAGTGCAGGACACAGGATACTGGGCTTAGATTACAGTAAGTCAGGTTCCATCTGAACATGAGACAGAACTTGCTGTTTGAGCAATATGACAAGAGCCAGGGAGGCTGTCAGCTCTAGGCCTTCAAGATGCAACTGGACACTCATCTGAGAGGGATAGTTTAACTTGCAGTCTTGTTCTGATCAAGGGTTGGACTGGATGGCCTTCATGGCCCCTTCCAACTCTGCCATTTTATCATTCTGTGAAATTGGCTTTTACTTAACTCACTCTGGAATTCTAATGTCAACTTTAAAGGAGCTGTGATGCATGCTCATCTTTAGCACTGAGTCTCACACTGGCAGAATGCAGGATGGGCCATAGATCAGTGGTAACATTCATGCTTTGCATTCCGAGGATCCCTGGTTCGCTCCTTCAGCTTCTCCAGACAAGGCTAGGTAAGCATCCTGATTGGAGAACTGCACAGCCACCGTCCAGCAGCATTGACAGTGTTTATCCAGGTGGACCAATGTGCTGATGCAGTATAAGGCAGCTTCCTGTGTTCCTAATAAAGAGGCTTCTCTTTAAAGGTACATTTTAAGGGCCAGAACACATGTGGGATATCTGTGAACTGTTTCTTAATATCTCTATCTGTTTGTTTGCTTGCTTGCTTGCTTGTTTAAAACATCCAGTGGGAAACCGGTATTGATTAGGATTTGGACATACAGGAAGAAAGGTTCATCCTTCCCTCTTCCCCCATTGTATTTTCTCAACCTAAATCACCTCCCTGAAATGCTGGCATCCTTGGCCAAGTCACCTTTTTTCTTTGCCTCTGTGACATTGGAATGGGGTCCCTGAGAGCTTCCCAAAATGGAATGTGGACCTCAGGTCATTCAGTTCCCCTGCATTCAAGGATCCTAGGCATCAAGGCTGGGGATATCATCTGCCTGAGATTATGGAGAGCCACTGATTTGCACTACTCGTTTTCTCTGAAGCAGAAGGCATTTCATAAAAAAGCAAATTAACAGACAACTAAGTCAGTTTAACAGAGCATGGGCAGAGCTGTGTGTAGACTTGTTTCCCATAGCCTCAACTCTTTCTCTGGGTAGGTATGTGGATGCCTTTTACAGCTTCCATGTATGCAGCATAATAGTCAGAAATAGTACAAGCCTGCAGAACTCCACAAATGCCTCTTTTATGGGCTCCTAAATCAACAGACCAGACAAGCTCAACTCCTCTATGGGGAATATGTGATCCCTCCAAAGCAGAGAACTATGGTCAATTTTCTTCGCAAACTACTCAGCTCACTTCCTGCACTGCGTGGGAGTCGGGGGATGAGATATAGACAACACAGCAGCAAAGGGAGACATGACTGAAGGGAGCAGATAAAAAGTCAAAGCAGGGAGACTGGACTGGGTTTAAAGCATTTAGAGATGGGGGGGGGGGGAGATGGTCGACTGCTAAATACCCAGACTCTTTTGCCAAACTTTTACATGCATGATTTCCTGTGCTTAATTTTTTTAAGGCTTAAAAAATAGCAAAACTAACCAGCTGTTCCTTGTATAGTCCAGGAAATGAGTTTGATTTATTGCTTTAAGACTAGTTTTCAGAAATGCGTGTATGTGGGGGTCGGGGGGGGGGGGTTGCTTGTGGCGGCCCCCAGTGCCCGGGAAGTCCCCCAGGCCTATCCACTTGAAGGGCTCCAAACTGTTTCCTGAACAGCAGCTTCTACACTCATCACCTTGGACAGCTATTATTGACAACGGGTTTTGACTGGGGCCTGAGAGTATTTTAAAACAGCAGGGATCTGGCCTGAACAATCCAGCTGTCAATTACCTTTTCCCCTGTGGGGAAAAGGGGCCCCCGGGGCAATGCTGAAAGCTCAGCGGGTGGGTGTGCTTTTCCAAGTATGTGACCCACTCTGTATTTAAAATGGACTAAATGGACATGCCTGCCTCTCTGGCTACCCCCATTCCTGCCACCTCTGCTGGGATGAAGAGGACTGGGGCAAAAGGTATAGGTGTTCCCTCAGCAAGGTTCAGGAGTTCTGCTCCAGCAGAACTGCCTTGGCCTTTATTAAGCATCTCACTGCTGTCTCTTCCTTTCTTGTGCTACAGGGGATGAGAGAGACAAGAGCTTTTCTTCTTCCACATCTCAAGCAGCCCTGACCACAGGAGAATGCCCAGGGAGCAGTACCAGTATTGTGTGTCCTTTAGATAAAATAACATAAAAATAAAGGCTTCCTATGAACACTGGTGACTTGCTGAGCAGCCAGTCCGTCCTATGGCCTGCTTTGTCCGGCAGTCACTCCTCATTTGAATTTGACTGACTGAGGAACCCGGAGTTATTTGTAAAGAACAACAAGGCTTTTCATTCATAATTTCAGGAGGGGAGTGAGGAGACCTGGGTGCTAATGACTGGCCTTGAATAACCAGGGAATGTGGTGTATTCAAAACAGGAAGATCCCCAACTGGCAAGCAAAGGAGAAAGGAGTGGGAGGAGAAAAGGTGGAAACAACCCCGTGAAACAGCAAACTAAGGGATCAGGTTCAGAACTGTATATGAACTGAATTCAGTTTAAAAAAAAGAAAAGCACAAAGAGGCAGGAGATAGATGTAGGCAGGCAGGACAGAAAATCCAACTTACCTAATTTGTTCGATTTCACAGTGGATGGATGGTGCATCTTCAAAGATCCCAAAGTGCCATAAAGCTTCAGTGAAGGAAGTGTTTCCACCTCCCACGCCCTCTCTCTGATCACTCCAAAGGAGGAACATTCTGGTTCTGGAGTTTTGGTAAAAAGAAAAGCTTTTGTTTGAAAGTTACATTTTAGGCAACACTTAAAAGCATTGAAGATGCTCATTAGGCAAAGGAGAAAAATAAAGAGACAATGAAATATGGAAGGGGTGTGTCAATACCTTGCAAAAGAGAACTTTCCTGCAATTTGTACATAGGAAAAGCAGAATGTGCACATTTTATACAGACTTCTTTCTTCAGTATTACAGCATTCTCAAGTGTCTTTTCAGAGACATGGGGTGCAAGCATGTTTAGATGGGGAAAAAGTATTCCCAGCGTTCCCTAGCCAGCTATAGACATATAAGGCAACCATTTCTGCCACTGAGATATGGCCAAACCACAATAACAGGACTCCCTCCCACCCCCACCCCACATCTAAAAATCCATCCTTAGAAACAGAGATGCCAGTCACATGAAATATATGATTTCAGGCCCAGGGAACCTACTTCAAAACCACATTTTGATGGTGTTGCTTTGCACATGAAGCAGATAGGGATGGGGATGGACTCACTATCGGACCCAATGACAACTACATGAAGTTGCCCCAAATCACATCAATCCAGCCTATGACCTGCATGCCACATGACAAACATCTCTCCCACACCCACACACACATGCGCACCCACAGAAGGAGGGAGAGGCTGGCTTATAGACTTTTTACAGGGCTATCATAAGTCAAACACCAGGGATTAATGTAAGTTATTTGAACCATTGTGATATTTTGAAGCTGACATTCAGAATATTTGGAAGAGTAATTCTGTTTCCTGGAACTGTGATACCTTTGAGCAGGTTAAATTGGGGAAGCATGTGTCAGAATCCCAGAATCTCAATTTGAGAAGAGGAAATAAACTTGGGTTCGTGGGAAAGATTAAGCATCCAGACCATCTAGGCTTTATTGTATTACCCAGGTTCCTCGCAGGTCCGTACTCACGATAATGCATTACTGGTCACGCAGAGGTAAACTCTGCTGCAAAGCTTCAATACCATTGCAGGGTATTTTATAGGTACACAGGTACAGGGCAATTGATGACAGAATGCAGGCGTTACAATAAGATTCTGAGGTCATCACATACAGAACAGATAAAGGAATGTCAGTCAATCATACAGAAACTATAAGATTACAATATTTCTAATTGCGGTGTATTGACATTTTTAGCCGAGTAACTTGAACCCATCTCCAGGTCTGCTTAGACATGTAAATTCAAGCTTCTGAGAAACTATTCATGATAAGTTCAGACCCTTATCTAGACTCTAGACATTCTGAATGACCAGGGCACATGAAGCCCTCTGGGTTAGGAAGATACTTCCTTGTAAACTGTGAATTCCAACAATGATTATTTAACAATGTATATTTGGACTAAATGGCCTGTCTACTGTAGCTTTCAGCTAAAGGTGAGAGAAAGGAGCGGGGGTATGCCATTTTAAACAGTGACATAGCTTGGTTTTGAGAAGGAGTACAGGATTTGATCCCACAATGCAAAAGCACACAGGAGTAATGCTTTTCAGACAGGATTTATCCAAATTTTCCCAACACATGTCAAATTCCTTGCATCTTATGAGGCAACAGTTCCATGCAAAACTGAAAAATTTCAAACAGAAGAAATCCTAACTGAGGGGAGGAGCAATATCCAAAATAGTTTGGTTGCAACTCAGCAGCAGTTAATGCTTTCTTACCTGTCTTTAGCATTCTGTCTCTCCTGGCATGAGAGTCAGCACCCTTGAGTTCAACAGGACTTACTTATGTGCAGACATAGATTCCACTGTAAATTTATTTATTTATAAATTTGTATGCCATCCAATTACTTATGTCTTTGGACGGCTTACAGCATAAATAAATTGATGACCCACTCTGGCTGCAAATACAGTATTAAATTCAATATTATTATTATTATTATTATTATTATTATTACATTCTTATACTGCCCATAGCCAAAGCTCTCTAGGCAGTTGACAGCAATAATCATGGAATCATACACTCAGGTCGCCCATCCCACTTCTGCCCAGGCCTGACCCTGCTTAGCTTCCAAGATGAGGCAGGATCAGGCACTTCAGATTAACATATTGATTAAATAAAAAGGTCTTAACCTGGTGCCAAAAAACATATAATGACGGTGCCAGGCGGCGCTTTCTGGGGAGTGCATTCCATAGTCGGGGCGCCACCGCAGAGAAGGCCCTCCTCCAAGTACTCTGTCTCCTGATCTCTTTCAAAGAGGGTTCCCGGAGGAGGGCTTCTGTTGCCGATCCCATTTGTTTTTTCTCTCTCTTAAATTTATCCATGGAATTCTGTTCAGGCTTATTGGGAAGCTAGCCTGACTGAAGGCAGCAGAATTTATTTCTGAGTTCATCTACATAGGATCAAGTTGCTAGTCCTATTGAGACAACCAACCCCAAAGCACTCTGCCTGCTGGATTCCTGAGACACTTTAATTGGAGCTGGTGCCATAACACACTTCACATTGCAATTAACTGTTACTTATCTTCAAAGCAACTTAGGAATGATTATGGGCATCCTATTTACAGTATAATGAAAGAATAGCAATTCATTCATTTATTCAGAGATACCTAAGCCACATTTTTGTGGTACGCAGCCTGAAAATAGTCAAAATACAATAATAAATACAGATTTTTACCTCTGAAAATATCAAACTTTTATAACAGAGGAATGATATCAGTACACACTGAACAGCCCAAAATTGCTATAATGCGAGGCACACCTTTTTTAACAAGAGGCTTTTCACACATAACCCAGACCCAGAAAGGTCAAGCCTTGGTGAATCTCTGCTGGAATCTGTGGCTCCACCAGTGCCGGAAAATAAGGTAAATACTTCAGTGCCATTTCATCCACAGGTCCTTCTCCTACCAGCTTCAGCTATTGGGCAGTGTAGCAATTATGCAAACAAAATGCCCACCGTAGCAAGCAAGTTTCCAGTTTTGCTCCTGTCAGTCTCCTTACCAAGGCAGGAATGAACCCTTGGACTGGCAGGGAAGTTTGAATCGCTTTGGACACCAGCATTTTTATTGATGAGATCACCTAGGCCCCATGCAACTGCAAGCTTTCAGAACATGAACAGTATTTTATAGGTTCTGAGTCACACCTGCAAGCAGGGCAGGTGATGTCAAAATAAGAGGAACACAGTGAAGAAGAATGTGAGAGATCTGCAGAGGAGACGTAATACAATAGTATTGATTACAAGAGATTAACATAAGAATCACTGAGGCACGGGGGCAGGGGGGGGTATTGTGCATCTTGGCATGCAAATGAGGGTGATTGCAATACTGCTAAAAAAACTTGTCTGGCTGCTTTATCGGTTTTTGTTTGCTGTTAGCCCAAGAATAGCCGGGGTTAACTTTCCTTGGAAGCCCCAAAGGCTTTTCCAACCAATGGTTTTTCAAGGTAGTAGCCATTTCTTGAAGGAAAAGCTTTGAAAATAACACTAATCCTGCCTTGGAATTCTGGTACTGAGAAAGAGGCACAGAGATGTTGCAGGTTTGATTTTATAACACAAAGGCACATACAAGCAACCTTTTTTCTACCAGGATTTATCTTAATTACCCCAACACTCCATTACAGCCAAGAAAAGAGGAAAGATAAGGAACCTGAGCAGCGACTAGCCTCCACTCACATCACCTTGGCAACTGAAGGAGTGCTTTAAATGTGCTTCTAAGCAAGTATGCCATCCTTGCACTGTTACTCTGGGGTAGGGATAGGAGGCCTGATTCAGATGTTGAAAGCCCACCTTTACCCCAGTAGTGTTCTGATCCAGTTTGGGAACCTGCACCTACTCTGCAGTAAAAAGCAAAGTCTCACTGAAAACTTTTCACTGTTGATCTTAACAAATGCACATTCCAGTTTTTATTATGCTTTGTAATTTTTGTGAAACCTCCTATTCTGTTCGTCAGAATAGAAATGAAACAAAATGAAATACAAACATATTAAAGAAACAACTGTGTTGACCAGTCAAATGTACCTCAGCAGCATATCTGGACTAGCAGCCACAGACATGCAGTAACTAGACTGGTGTCCAGCTTGGACCAGATTTGCATTCGAATCTTCACTCAGGCATGATACTTGTGAGTGAGCCTGAGCCAGCCTGAGTTCTTGGCCTGAAGTGCTTCACTGAGTTATTGTGAGCCTGTAATAAGGGCATCCTCAGCAACACCCAATCTGCATTATTGTGTGGTGCTTTATGCAGGCCAACTTTTCAAGACCTTTTGGAACTTCCATTCATCTAGAAAGTGCATAGTGGATAGAAACCTAAAATCCGTCAAATCCTTTGGACTACAGCTCCCATAAGCTCCAAGTGATCTGGATTGCTAGGAATTCTAGGCCAAAACACATTGCCTGGCTCTGTATCAGCAGGTGCAAGTTAAGAATACCATGTTTAAAAATTCCTTTATTCTTGCAGACAGATGGCTTTGAGTTCTCTTGATCTCGTTGCAGCTGGAAACTGAAATGATGTTACTACTGCTTTTGGACTAAGATCAGTGTTGGTAGTTTCAAAGAGTACTAAATTGTTTTATGATGGCTGTACTATTGCTGTTTCATTTATGAAATTTTGCAAGGCACCCTGAGAATTCAGTGGATCTGCATGTATGGGTCCTTATAAAGAGCAATTTAACTACTGACCATTAGTTAAACTCCAAAACCTGTATTAGTGTAGTATCTTTATGACAACGGTTCACAAATATTGCAAGTTTTTGAAATCTTCAGATTTCTTCCACAGGTAAGCTGTTATTAAAAATAAATAAATAAACTGGTTGGGATATAGGAAACAGGGGAGGACAAAACTTTGATGGTAAAGAAACATCGACTGCATATTCAAAATCCCAACTTCCATCAAGACGGGTTTTTCCTCTTTTATTCTCTCCCCCACACTTGCTTTTTAAATGGCATCCTGCCCGATAAACAGATCTGGCACTTTCCAAAGTTTGCATATTTTTGTGTCCTTCAGCCGATTGGTTTCTGAACTTCACTTACAGTCAGCAGCA